TAGAAAAGCTCAAGTAGCTGTATTGGCTTCAAAGAAAACAGTTAGTTTTGTTGGTCTAAAAATTATTAGATAAGCGCTGTGCACCACAAGCATGGAAACAGCTATCAGATACAAGTAGTAGTGGTAGTTTTGAGAAGCAAATGTCACATGTATCGTGCCGCGGACTATTCGTCTGTTTATAAATCATTTGGACAAGATGTAGTGTATTTGCTAGGGAGAAAGGAGTCACCCAAACCGATATTACATTGTAAAAGGTCTCAGACAATCCAAGCGGTAAAATTCTATGGTAAACCACATTGGCTGCAAAACGACAGGAACTCCTTTGCAAAGTTCGGATAAGACATTGATGAACAAAAGTAATAAAACCTATTAAAATCCTACAAAAAGCACTGAATTAGTAGGAAGGAAGTGGACCCAAGTAGACTTCAACGGAAGCGCGGATCTTATTGACAATATGCAGTACAGAGATTCGCTGACGAGTAATTGATTGCAATGTCAAGAATTGAATGTCTCGGACTATTGGCACATAAATTATAAAGGAAGAAGTTACAAAATGAAGCAATAACATTAATGAAAAAGGAAACCGCTTCAATAGGTATGCGCGTGACAAATACCAAAACAGTGGAGAGGCGAGCGACAAGATTAATATCCGGCGAACACTATAGTGTTTCATGTCCCTTAGATGTGGTGTTGCAGTTGTCATAGAGCTCCTGTCTTCAAATGCAACAAGTGACAGCAGCTTCCGTCTGTGGCCCCGTTAACAGTTAAACAAGATCCTGCTGTCAAAGTGGGCGATGAGCCTGAATTAAGATGGGGTACACACAGGAAGCTCGTTTCCCTGGACCTGCTACTGAATCTGTCAAATACGGGAGGATGAACACAACACGGAAGTAACCATAAGCGTAAACACAGCCATACATATCGAAACGGACGCGATAACTGTTAACTTATTATTGGGCAGCATGGAAAGAAGCATCGTGAGGAAATACAACGCCTCATACGGTTAATATTAACGAAACACTCCAGCTTCGCTATAACCATGCCTTTTGTGGTCTTTTAGACAGTGGAGCTATGGTTTATGTGAGGTAAAGAATTAATGTTCAGCAAGTCATTCGGGATGGTTAGGATGCGAACTACACAGTAAAAAAATCAAAATGGAGTGAGCGACGGCAATCCCATTATAATGGCCCTCTACATGTAGATCTCATTGCGTTCAGTTGGTTTTTATATGGAAGATAAGAGAGCACCCTTTGAGTTTAAGTCACTCCATCTCCCAGTGAACATGGGACATATCAGGTGCAGATGAGTTATTGCAACTGTAAGTCAGCTTTTCTAACATGGAGGTGAAAATGATTTCATTTGAAGTGTATTTCACGGCTGACCCAAAAATGGGATTTCTGGACTACACCATAGTGATATTGCGTCTCTCCTGGTAACCCACGGGGTGCGTGCAATGATAGCCAACACGGTTTCGGAAAACGGTAGGAGAAGGGTTACCGGGTGGTAACTTCGGCCCTAATATGACTGTCATTCTCATGAAGGAAGGCAAAGATTCCACAATTCCACATGGTGTGAACCCACATCGCATCGAGATAGCGCTAGAAAGGCGAAGAGAACGGCTCAGCCACGGTCATGGTATGCACCTTCAAATACTCGTGTATACTAGACCGATTACGCTATGTATTTATGCGTACCGAGAACTCATTCTTGCATCATCTATGCATACCTACTGTATGTAAGTGCACATTTTTCTTCGCCATTCCATATGCACTGTTTGGACGACAGTCTATGTATACTTGTTGCTTTCCTCTTTACGGTTTTCGGGACGGCAATTCGTTACGAAGTTTTGCTCAGATGAATATCGTCAATGCACGAGGTATTTTTACAGGAAACATCCGGTTGATGTGCTGAAGCAAGAACAAATGGAATTTCACATTAATGGAGGACAATCTGTATGTACCAACGCTTTCGAATGAATCCTACGCATCAGGATCGAGGCAACTTTACTAGACCGTGGTTTGCATCGTCAAGCAACGGATAATACCCCGTCGATCTGAAAGACCAATAAAGAAATAATTTTCTGGTAAAGTCCCTGGTGTGCAAACGCATGCAACTAGTCGTTAAAGTGTAACCATTACCACAATGCGCTGAGTTCTACCCTATGTACCCTTTTCGGTCATAGTGAACGATAGCACGGGTATAGTATATACTGGATAACAATTTTGTCGGCGGCATTCACTTCCAAATGTTGGCTATCGGAAAGCAGCACGTATGCTCGTTAAGTTGTGGGGATAACCAAGGCACATAAAGCTCCCTCGTTAGTGGCTGTCCACTCATCAGAAAGTTCCGTTCCTACTATTTGCACCCAGTACAAATTAGTATTACATTGCTCCCACCTCATTGCTTGCGTTATTTAAGTTTCATGAATACTGAACGATACAGTCAGTAATTTTTATTAAAACAAAAGTATTGCTTGTAACAAGATGGGTGGTGTTATGTGCTCATATGTGTGAATTTATTTTAGTCCCATGTGACATGAGGAAGATTGATGGAACGCCACCTTGGAGATATACAGCATTCGGTATCCAGCAATGTCACTTACGTTCAGTAGGCTGTACTCGCGCAGGTGCCTTGAATTCTTTGACAAACCTGCGGTCGCAGCAACGAGGTTGTTACCATTCGGTGAAAGCGTAACTTACGTGAGAAAGATTTGGGACAGAGTGAATAGTTATTAGAGAGTGTTGGCTATTGTGTAGCCTGCGCTCGTCAGTGTACTGTGCGCAGAATAGTAATTTTGTGATGCAGCAGCCTGCGGAGTTTCTAATCAGTCTATAAATCAAGTTAGGTATAAACTAAATTGCAGTGTCAGGTCCAGTTGGTGCACTAATCATCATCAACTAGCTTGACACAAGAGTCGGATTGAGTTATGTAAGCTTTCCAAAGGCCACGGTTCAGAAATGCTTAGTATTCCTATACCTTTTCTCAGTCAATTGCACCCATAGGACTTTCAAATTCCTCCTTAAGGAGACCATATTCCTCCGTAGATCTCTCAAAGTGGTGCTTAACGCTATTAAGTTGCATCCAGGGGGCGCAAAAGTTTCTAAGAAATGCGTGCCGTTCGTTGATTAACCGATTCCAAATCAGCCGACAGCATAAAAGATGAGTACATAGATTGAGATGCTATTGCCTGAGTTGGAATTTGTCACTCAATGAACAGTAGCATTTAGGGGTGTTCGCGTCAGTTGGACGTAAATAAATAGTGTTAAGGAACATCTTGGGAAGTCTATTGAGGAATTTGATTTCTTTGGAAATGAATTCGAAAACGTTAGGGATTCAGTTAACTGAGAAAAGGCATACAAAACACATCACACTTGTTTAGCCAACTTCTTAAGAAAGATTTCGACTTGCTCAGGCATATATGTTACAGCGTCTGGGGTGCTTGCCATAAACCAGTTGAGCACATGACTCAGACTAGACAAAGCAAGATGTAGTAAAGTATGATGACCGGTGCATTTTCAGTGTAGCACTTGGAATTTATATTGAAAGAAAATATGTGGAGCGCAGTGTCACGTGAGCACTGGGGGAAAAGCTATCCACCACTGCTGTGATTATCAAATATTCCACCTTGGTAAAGACGGAGTCCATGTCCTGGGAAATTGCATAAACGTCCGAATAACCAATCCGATACATTTATACTCCGCGTAGCGGCCGGTAGCCTTAGAGATCAAAAGCCTGCGTTGTAATCCAATGACGAAGGTTCGAGCCTGCGTAAGGACCGGGCAGTTCTCGCAGCACCATTAACGTACGTGTGATTGGTGGTTGCGCGGCAGCGAGGCGCCGGTGCTAGGTACCGGCGTACTGCTGATGACTTTTATTTCGCGTTATCTGAAAATACACAGGAAAATACAGCAGCAGGACGCAGATGCGCCACGACTACGCGTCGCTTCCACATGACCACTACCAGTCGTGCACATGTTATGTATAAGGCGATGTTTCTAGTGCCGTCATCCCTTAGGGCACCGACTAGAAGTGTAAATCTAGTCGAGTAGATATGAGAACCGCCAAAGTTTGTTGTAAATCTTGTATCACTGAAGGTATGCAACACATGCACTTGGACTTCAGAAGCAGAATTTGGGCACGAATTTAATGCGGGAGTGGCAGCGCAACGGAAGAGAACACGAATTTGGTGGCCACGGGAAATAGCATAAACTAAACGATTCACGGGCGTACTACATGCCTTGGAACAGCTCTTCGAACGTAAAACTTCAAGGGTAGATGAAGGAAAGCATATCACATAATTGTTGCCAACAAAGTATTTTTATTGGTAAAAATCCTCGAGATGTAGCACAGATCAAGTCATTAATGATCACAACAGTACGAGTGATGGTTGGGACAAGCGTCAGGATAATTTCAAGCTTAATAAGAAAGCAATAGTTCTCACACTGCTGTTATCTAGATGGACAACTTTTACTCACTCTGGATAAAATGATTTTGTATGGGTGTACACGACATTTGTGATATGGTCATTATTGCTTGGCATTAGCGCTCAAGTTTACGGTGGTTGCGGAATCTGGCGAAAAGAAACTTTTCATTAATCGTCAAGAAATGGGGGTCTTTTTAGAATGTTGTATGAGAATAGGTGACGAAACGTGCTTACAATACCCGAAACAATTACAGCGTCCAATAGACAGACCAGAAGAGACCAATGAGCTTGCCACTAACCGGAGAGATAATTGCCGCATGCAGAGTTATTACAATAGATGAAACCATTGTACGCAAACCAGCTGCTTTGAAACGTGTTCATTTGGCAAGTATATTAATATGCGATTTCAGTTGCAATTACCAGAATACACAGTTCCAGTACGAGTTCGTCCAGCTATCCTAAGAAACGTGCAAGCAGTGGTGCGCTACATAAAGCCTTAAAAGAGAAACTTTAGACTTGTTAGTAGGCAAAGAAACTGTGCGCGCAATATCCCAGACAACGAAGAAACGAGAAGTAGTCAGTTGCAACTTCGGTTAAAATGGAATGACACAATTCTGACATTTGGCGCAGGGAAAGCATCAACAAACTCATTGTCATGACAAACTGATGTCAATGAACATTGGTAAAAATAATCAAAATAGTATGCAAAAATACGGGCCACTGTCGATTAGATGAGCTGAGTACCTCCTGTTCACTGTCCGTCTCGTATATCCGCCCTTATTGTCAGGAAGCTTCATCATCCATCATGAAACCTGAAATGGGAGGAAACATGCGACTGCAAGAATTCGACGAGATGCAACCATAGAAATGGTTACCCAGCGTATTGATGTGAGCGATTAGAGGGTTAGTCAGCAACCGACTAACAAAAGAAGGCGGGACAGTTGACGCGCAGTGCACAAATAATTAGACTACTTGTGCACACGAACAGTAGCATGAAGTATATACTCACAATGCTGGGTAGGAGAAGAACTAGGAACTAGCCTCAGCAATGCAACTTAAGCTGAGCTAATGTTAGAAATACAAACCTCAATGAACACACCAAAGATATGCGTTATTCTGCTGCTGTTTACCACCCACAAGAGTCCACCCACTGACGCTACTGTTTTCAAAGTTTGTCCCCAAGAACGACCCGTGTGATAGGGAACTGGCATCCACCAACTTCCATACCAGACTGAGTCAAAACCTGACTCGGCCCAGTATGCCACGTCTTGGCGTGTTTTACTACTACAGATTATGACTAGCTTATTCGGATGAGCTGGAATTATTTGACAGACGTTAAAATGGGTGCAGTGTGTGTATACGATGGCAATGTGCCACTTCATCTGATTTGTTCGGCTTCGTGCAGCCATCAAGCATCGTAACTGTAAAGTCCAAAAGGAACTTTGATGTATCCCCAACCTGGATTGCTTACATGAGGACACGGTATCTCTATTCCCTGATTATTCTGCTCATTTTACATTGCTTTACTGTGTCCTACAATCGGTTACCATATCGTATATTTATTCCTTTCACTCGATCACTGACATATCCTTGACGTTTCAAGGTCATTCATATTATTATGTTACTGTGACACTGCCCAAATACTCGCACGCCGCCGCACGCTGTACAATTTCTGCCCTCTTGCACTACGATTGCAAAACCTATTCGTAAGTCATGTACTGTATTTAATATGCCTTATAGAACCACGGTTACAGGATACTTCGTTTTATTCTTCTGCCCAGACCGTGCGTTAAGTCTAGGTTTATTTGTTCGTAGTTTCTAGTTTAGTTTTCGTACGACGTACTTAGTTTAGGCTTCGTATCGTTGGTACAGTAACCTTTCACCTGTCTCAAGAATTGCCCGCGGGACAAATGGTTAAATTTATCCTTCTACAAGGTCAGGAGCGATTACAGAACAATGGATAGTAGCGAGGCTCGTCATTATCATCAACACCAATTCATCAGCTATCTGAACTGATGGTTCGCTTCCATGCAACCATAAGGACCTACGGAACAAGGAATTATAGAGAGAGTGAGCGAGGACTTACTGTAAAACCTTGATGCCTTAAGCCAAAATTCAGTGTAAAATCAATATCATACCGTCACAAACAGCTGGCAGTCGTGAAAGGCGACATCAGCGAGACAGTTTATTTGCGGTTTTCACTGCCCCGCGCCATAATCAGCCATTACCCAGTGGATATCTCTGCACCAAGCACATTTTAAACAGAAAATTTGACTACCAGACAACAGCAGATATGCCACTGGTGCCGACCGTGAGCCATGCCCTGCAGTGTCTCGAGCCAAGCACAAGGTCACGTAGATTAAGCCGGAAAACGATACGGACCGACAGCACCCAGTTTGGTCGTTAGTAACTTCGTTTCCCGCTGCCAAGTTAACTTTGCCAACCTCGGGCCTTGCGCCACCTTACATTTGACAAACAAAACAAAGTCGTCCTCGGTAAGCGGTGCCCGGGCATAAGTGGTAGTACGTGCGCAATCCAACGCAACTTATTCAGGGCTATCTGTTGTTCTAAGGAACCAGCCTGAGTATCGCTACTTGCCAATGGCCTACGCACATCATCATTGCACACGCTGCTGCCGCCCGACACCAGCAATGTTCCGCAGACAGCGATGATCAAAGACTTGAAGGCGCCTCAGATCGAAGGGACCAAGTCTCACTGTGGTCAGGTAAACACAGACTTTCAGACCGACGGAATCCCATTTCTGACGCCAAAGAGATCGCAGTTAAGACAGTACTTCGCTTTTGTAAGGCGTAAGTTGACTTCAGTTTCAATGCGCTCATCGTTGCTGATGGAGCTGCCAAGATAAGTAAATTGAGCAACAACTTCGATTTCCTCACTAGCAAGGGTCAAGAAGCCAACAAGCGGCTGGCGGTCCTGCAGCAGGACTTTGCACTTGGAAGTTGTAAAGCGCATACCAAATAATGGGACCCATTTGGAGATGCTATCAAGGGTTGATTGCGTCGCCCCAACATCATTAAGTAGCAAGATGATATCGTCCGCATAATCAAGATCAGCTAGCTTTTCAACATGCATCACCTCAAAGTCTGCGTCGTGAGGCTCCGCAATGGAACACTCCATGATGGAGTCCACGACGAAATTGAACAAAAATGGGGAAATCGGACAACCTTGACGAACGCCACTTGTTGTCGGAAAGATATGCAACACGTCACCGTAAACGTTGACGCAGCCTGTAATGTTCGAGTATAGAGCAAGTAAAGTGTTCACATACTTTATGGGAACACCTTTCCGCGCGAGTATTTCGAGCAGAATACATTGATCGACCGAATCGAACGCACCCTTGATGTAAGGGAACACCGCTGTTGTCGGTCTGCGGTATGCGTAACGCTGCTCCAGCAGCTGCCGCAGAGTGAATATATGGTCTATATAACCCTATGCAAGTCGGAAACCTGCTTTCTCCACTCTAATCCGAGATTCCCGTTCCGAAGTGGGGCGACGAACGAGAATTGAGGCTAGTAATTTTGTCACAACTGGCGTTAGACTAATACCCCTGTGGTTAGCCCAGTCGGTGCGACTGCGCTTCTTGTACATGGGCACTACAATCGATTCACTTCAGTTAGCCGGGAGTCTCCTCCTTTCAGACATGTTCGAATAGGGAGGTCAGTGCTTTGCAGAGGACCCCACAACCATCTGTAAATATTTAAGGTGAGATGGAATCCGAGCCAGCAGAACGAAAAGGAGTGAGGACTGTGAGCCTGTTTTGGACCTCAGGCCCGATGGAGCCCCTAAACTAATCGTCCATGACTCATCTTACATTACCTGAGTAGAAAGAGATCTGGAAGCAGGAGGCAGTATTAAGTACGCACACATATGTATTCTCAGCATTTTACACCATCGACCGCAGATCGGCTAAGACAGTTTCGTCAAAAAGTGAAATTGTATAAATGGGGAAACAAAAGGTAAAAAGCCCACTCGATTAAACGATCTAGCGTTGCCAAGCAGCGATCGCTTATCACTGGAGACAGGAAGCGGAATTTGTTTTAGGTAGACAGGGCAGTGTCCATCAAGCAACCTTACCAAAACATTTCTTGATACTTTGGTTGAGTTTATGATTCTATGACCGAATTAAAAAAATCGCGAACTGGCGCAGCATCTCAGAAGCCGTTGGAAAAATCGACGGAGTATGACAGCCAAGTGGATATGGAAACAGATTAAACAAGGAAAAGGTCAAAAATACTCAAGGAAAGCTGAAAAATTCACAGTAGATATTTTCATAGATAGTAGGAAAACGATGTTTCAGTGAAAAAAGTAGCGGTTGATCCGAACGTCCCCAGAACGTGTCAACATCGCGATGCACACAATGGTAATGACCAACAGGTAACAGCTTGAGGCAAAATATTTCCTTACAACAAGCACTAAAGAAAAAGTAACCAGGCGGTGTATGGCGAGATAATCCGAGATAATCCTCTGGCAACGCAGGTCTTAAACGTATGCAGCAATTCAAATAATGCCTACATGTTTTAGATGTTTGTGAGACCAGTTTGAAAGAAGGCGAGGGGAGAAACAGACAGCCCTCTAGATGGCTGTGTTCAGTCAGAGTGGACAGGTGGCAGGGACGATCCAGACAACCAGTAGGATGCAAACCTGGCGGATTCGGTCGCAGGACACAGCATGTACGACCGTGCAAGAAGGTGATTTTGCTGATTAGCTGAAATTCGGGTGTGCTACGGTAAGTTTATTTGACTGAGCCATTAGAAGAAGCTTATCGATCCATAAACGTTGAGGTTAATGATAGGGGATTCAAGAGACGTTCGGCGCGTCAAATGTGCTGCTGCGTTCGCTTGTCAGATGTGATTAGACAGACCTCTTATCCCTTAAGGACCGAGTTTTCGAAATAGCACAATATGTGGGACCTTTTGACGACCTGTACAGCTGGTAAACAGGTCGAGCCTTCCTAAACTATCATGAGGATTGATCAGAGCAGAAAACTAACTCCAGCTACCTAAATAAAGTATTTCAGCAATTATGAAGTGATAACTTCGGGAGCGAGGCCAGGAGACGTGACACTCACGTGCTAAACGGTCTCAGGTGATTCACCAAATGATGCTTGCAGTTGCTCGCGGGGAGACATACTAACGGGAACGATGCGTAGATTTGCTGTAGAGAACGGCAATATTGTGAATAACAAGTCATCTATTCGGTATCATCGAGGACGCGAAGTATGCAAGTTGTATCAATGAAAACTCAGTCTAGTAAAATCAGACGAAGGGGTACAGTTCTGTTGTGCAGGCGTGTTTCTGAGACATGGGTGACGTCAACTCCGGTGTAATGTGAGGTCACAGTAAGTGTGGCCTGTGGACCGACCTGATATAGTGTACGGACGTTAACAGACAAAATGTGGAATAGCACCATACGTCTGAATGATGGTCTGGCTTCTGCGTTATTGCCGCTGATGAAGTCAGAAGTGATTTCTTGATTAATGAGAGATTTGTGAACAATCGGCTAGTTTATTTGATTGGCAACGTTTCGCTTTTGACACAAAAGCTTCGTCAAAGCGAAACGTTGCCAAGCAAATAAACTAACCGATTGTTCACAAATCTCTCAGAAATCATGACTTCTCGATCGGTTTTAAGGAGTATCCACAACTTATCAAAACGCCTAGAGCGTTGGGCTGAGCATTATAAAAGGCAATTTAATCGGTCGGAATGGTTAGATTTCTCGCCGGCCACTGATCGCCCCGCTCCCTGGGCTGTCCCTTTGGATCCACCAACTCGCTCAGAAGTCGAACGTGAGA